ATAGCACCATGTATATATTAAATAAAGTATTTTTGTATTAATGGGAAATGATAGTTGGTAGCCAAATCAAGTGTGTCATTATTTCAAAATAACCTCTGCCTTGACAGTTATTTTACATTTCATATATGAACACATCTTGGAGTGATAGTTGTTTCAGTTGACTGTGTTTTAAGAACTCATGAAGGCTTTTATTTCAGAAATGGCTCCGCGGCTGCGCTAATGAACTTGTGTAACTTCACCAGTCACAGACTTTTTTGCACCGTGATGCGTAAAGAACAGAACTCTACAGGTTCTTTCAGACTGTCCACAACAATGTTTTGCAACTTCTGTTCCATTGGGTCTAAATTTGGTTCAATTGCATGGAAACTGTTCTTGTGTGTTTTACTTAGTTAGCTCTCCATTCTGGATAAACGTAAACACTCTTCACTGTTTCGTAACTAGCCAATTACAATTGCATACAACGGATGCTAATTGCCAATTACATCCGTTGGACATAATTAAGCAGTCAACGAACAGAGTGATCATTATCATTGGTGGTGCCACTGTGAGTGGCTGGTACGAGAAACAGTAGATAAGCATGTTGCCTTGCATTTGTTGTGTGAACATTTGTAGAAGTAGCTACAGTGAAATGAACGGAGCAAGAGGGAGTAGGAATCTCCATTTTCTAAACAAAGAAGAGAAAGTAGCAGGAGAGGGCATGTGACCAGCAGAGTGTGAGAGTAGTCAATCTGAATGGCCACAGCTAACACAGGCCAACGATTTCCAAGGCCAGACCGCCTCATGACCTCCAGTGAAATATAATGTGTATATTTACATTTTTATTTTATTTATTTATTTTATAATTAAAGATATTGTTGTTTACATTTGTAAAAATTTAAGGTGATTAAAACTGATTATACTATACAGAACACTGCTATGTTCACTGTACAGAGCTAGGAAGCACTAACTTCTTGCTAACTCTGTTACAGCAAACATGCTAGTGTTCTGTGTGTTACCACTTGGTAAGAGTACACCCAGCAGATTTAATGTGGCCAAGAAAAGCAAGATGAAAACAAACAGTGTGTAACTGTACAATATAAATTGAAGTGGCAGCTTTCAGTTTTGTTACTTTTGGGTGGCCCCCCCAGATTAATTGTTGTTACCCCTGTGCCCCCCGCCAGAAAATTATCTGGACCCGCCCCTGGACATATGTCTTATTTCTGTAGCTTCAGCCACCATTCCTGCAAGTTATATTAACATTTGACTAATTTTACCAAATGCTTAGTTTTGAGAACACAGCAACAGCGAGCTCCAGTAGGGAAAGTAAAAAGTGGTCACACAGTCTGACAGGTTATAAGGGCATCCCCAGTTTCAACATGTTGTAATATTCATTTAGAAATTCAAACAGAGGCAAATATTTAAATTATTGTCCATTGAGAACACTTACCACTAGCTACCTCCAAGATCAACGTTGCCTTTGCCTTCTTACTGTGATTGTGAGCATACAGTTTTTTAGTGCCATGACTGACTGTATTGGAAACTAACTGGGATAAACTGGAGTTTGTTTACAACCTGCGTGATATTCTTTTGCTTGGCCTAATTCTTAAGTGTTTCTAGTGATGCCATCCTCTCTCCAGAGTAGTAAAATGTAATGGCAGGAATGATGGCCAAAACTATGGAAACAACATCTATCTAGGAAAAAACTCATAATAACTTTACTTTAATCACACTAAAAATATTTTTTTACCTATTAACTAACACAATTTTTGGCACTTGATTCATATCATATGTGCTTGAAAATTCCTGGACACACATGGTAATGAAGGAAGGAAAGGACACAGTAGAACAGCAGCTGTTATTCTGCTGCTGTTTCTCCTCACCCTCTTCCTGTTCTCCTTCCCCGCCTCCCTCACCTCCCCTCTACTCTTTGGAATGAGCTTTTTTACAATCACTCATTGGGATGAGGGCAGCTGACCAACGGCTTGTGCATATGTGTGTGTGTGTGTGTGTGTGTGTGTGTGTCTGAACGTGATATTGGTGTCTGAGGGGGAACCCATCTGTGCGTGAGCGTGATGTGTGAGCATGTCAGGGTGTAGCTGCGAGGGGAGAGCAGAGTGTGGTGCCGAGGGGGAGGGGAGGAGAGACGGGTAGAGGAAAGGAGGAACGGGTGGTTACTGTTTAACATGATCATTGAGCAGCCATATTCCCTTCCCCCAGTCTCAATCCATCCACCTCTCGTCTTTATCTCAACCACAGCAGATCTATCATGATCCCTCCTCCCAATTGTGATTTTAAAAGTAATTACACTGATATGTGAGTACACTTTAAATGCCCAGGGGAAAAAAAAGTGGATATGATGCCTCTGTAATTGCATTCAGTCTTGACAATTCTGCCAGTGTTTGAACCCTACCTCCGCCTCCTCTTCTCCTTCCCTCTCTCCCTATTTTATATGCGTTCTCCTCTCCACACCTTTCTACATCTTCATCACCCATCTGTCTTTGAAATTTGCTTTTCCATCCCACTCATCTGCTTGTCCTTCAACTCCCTCTCCTCCGCTCTCCTCCTCGTCTCTCCCCTGCTGTACAGACTGAGAGCAGCAGCAGCAGCAGCAGCAGTAAGCAGACGAGAAACACAGTCACTCATAGGCACGCTCTGAGGGGGACGTGAGTGTGTATGTGTGTGCACGCAGGAGTATGACTGATCTCCCAGGGGGCCAAGGTTGTTCCGAGGGTCACTGAGGAAGTCGCCATGGGAACACAAGCCCCGCCTTGTCTTTTTCATTATTGTAGGCCCTCTAAGAGCCCAGTGTCTGTGTATTTATTTTCTTTTCAGTTCACAACATGAATCTAGTCCCAGTTGTCATTCCCTATTGGCTACTAGCTTTGGTCATACTGTCATGGTGTGTTGTTAAGAGCCAGTCACTGTGATGGCGGTACTAGCATGACTTAAAAATAACATCTGTACTGACATCATAACTGAATCCACTGTAGATCAATGAACACCCATACACCAGAGGACTCCCAGGTATCTATATCTGACTAAGTGTACTCCCCCCCCCCCTCCGGGGAAATTAAAGGAAAAACCTACATTAAGCATCTTTGTAAAGTGCTGGTGTGATGAAATGGAAGCATGTTCTTCCAACAGATATTGCCTCATTTTGTGTTTTGTTGACAGTGCTGGAGAGTGTTATTGATATGGTGACTGCGAAGGCCATAGCATGTGGGTCACAATCATTTTCATACCTTCAGTGACTCTGTATGGAAGCATCTGCATATATTGTTTTTCTCCATTTTTTTTTTTTAATCGGTGGTAAGATTTGATTTCAAACTTTTTAGTTCAAGAGGAAAAGATGAGGGGGTAGGGAGATTAGCATGGGTAAGATCAATACTTACTTACAATACTACTTACGTCTGCTGGTACACGAGCACAATAGAGAGTAATGATCCCTCATTTGGTAGTTTAAGCACACAGTGGAGCATGAACTAGGGCTAAAACTTGGACTGAAGCAGTATAATGGAGTTTTGATACTAGAAGTAGGGATGTTGTATTACATTGTGATTATACAGTCAAATAAGTTTTTTTTCCAATCTGGACAGTATAATATATTTTCTAATGTATTTTACTAAAAGAGGTCCCTCCTGGGGCGCCCGGATAGCTCACCTGGTAGAGCTGGCACCCCATGTACAAACGCTGAGTCCTTGCTGCAGCAGCCACGGGTTTAAATCAGACCTGTGGCTCCTGGCTGTGTGTCGTCCCCTTTCCTGTGTATCTTCAGCTGCCCTTATTGTAAAAAGGGAAAAACCCCCTACCAAAAAAATATATATATATATAAAAAATGAGGACCATCCCTCAACTATAACACCAAAATACTTTAACTACAGGGAAAGGTGTATAAAGCCCCAACTATCCCCTATCACTCTTACAAATAAACTACAGTATTTATCTATATTTTAATAATGTGTTTTGTGCAAATTCCTTCTTCTGGGCCCAATTAACTGCTCCCCTGTGCTGTTTGTAGAGACAGCAAATATTACCTAAATACTGTAGAAGCAGCAATTGAATCTTCCCGGCCACACTTGTGGGTTCACATTTTAGCTGGTTAGTTATTACTCCATCCACCACAGTGTTTCCAAAACACCCAGTGAGTGGTGGGTTGCATCCTGTGTGTTCCCTTGGATGAAACATGTTGTCATTTCAACCGCATTCAGTAGAATGTTTTTCGTGTTGCACGGCCCTAATGCTGCTTGAGATGCATTTCCACCCAGCCTAAAAATATCTGAAGCGAACAGTTTGGATGTGACCATGGCTAACAGTTGGTGACAGTAGCTGTGGCTCACAAGCCATGCTGTTTTGTCAGCATGTGGCAAGCCGGCCAGCCAGCAAGTCTGTCATACAAAGCACCTTTCAGAACCTCTCCCTCGCTTTTACCCACTCTTTCTCGTCTTTTTGTTTGTCTAAATCTGTTAATTCTAAGGACTGTATGTTGGCTGTGATTTCATTCAATCTTCTAGAAACACACTCTGCTATATATGCACATTGTAATAAATGGTGGGTGTATATGTGAAATATAATGAATTATAAATGTTGTAGGTGAAATAAGAAAAGCATATTTGTCTCCAGTCCATCTAGATGGGTTCTTTTTAGAAGCATAACTTCGTAGTTGCATGTATGACTCAACAACCAGATGTATCCCCTTTGCCACAATTAAACCAATATAGAAATAAAACACAAGCATGAGGGAATGGAGCAGAAGATTAACCATTTCTCCACAAGGGTGAAGAATCTTACCTTCAGAGATAAGAGGAATTCACCGGGTCACAACAAGGGTAGAGGTAGCTCCTTGGAGCTCAGGTCCCAACCTCTGCTAGTTGTAGTTTGTCTCGACCTCAGTCACTGAATAATAAAACCAGTAACAAATAAAGCCCCCCAATGCCAGCAAAGTAAAGAGCACAACAGGAGCTTGACCCGCTGGGCCGGATCCTCTTTAGTTGTTAATTTGAACAAAATAGCAGGTGCGTCCTTTGCAAAATATATTATATCATTATTCTTTGCTTCTGGACTACTTTTCCCAACACATTCTTGTCAGTCGCACGCCAAACATGTTCTGTCCAATTCCAAACTCGCAAAAAGACATCAGAAAAAACACTCCAAAGGCGAAGAAAACGAGCCGGACTTTAATAACTGCCTGATAATACTAATAATATCTGTAAATATGTGTTTGGAGCAGGCAGCCACACACACGCACAGTTCCATCCACCGCTTGTCTGGAGTTGTTTGAACAGTAGAGGCTGCTTTACCAGCGGCTGTCCGCAAAATAAAGCACTCCTACGCAAACATCATCATCAGCAGCCTCAGCAGCGTGCGTGTTGGAGGAGGAGACGGGATGATGGAAAATCTCGACATCTCCATTTCAACAACCAGTTTTCCCCCACCGTCCGAGGGGGTCGAGGTCAGATATTTGTTGTAGCGCCGCTCCTGGTTCAGCGGCACAATCGATGCGGGGCTTTTTTTTTTGTTCCTGTGCACGCTTCCCTTTTTCTATTCTCTCTTTCTGTCTATTTATCTCCTCCCTTCGACTAGTATGTTTCTCTCTTTGCATCCCATGCTTGACGAAAAAAAAACAAGCCGGCCGGTCGTTCTGGGGCTGTGAAGTGTCTGTAGCTGGCTAGTCCGAAAGAATACAGGGCTGCTGTATCCTGGATATTTGATGCACGGTTGTTGGATTTCCGTGTATTTGCTGATTCCTGCAGAGCGACGTCCGGCACTGTGCGGAGACGAGTGAAAATGCGCTTTAAATTCAGAGGCGCCTGCAGACTCAGTGAGTGCATGCAGCCTGGAGTGTGCAGCCTGAGAGATGGCGCTTTGGTCGCAAGCTCAGATTGGCTATGGGTGTTAGAGAGAAAAGAGACAAGAGGGGGGAATTCAACAAAAAAAGAAAAAAGAAAAAAGAGGGACAAGATGCTGGATGAGGGGCCCCTCTTTGACTTCCAAGCAGAAGTCTGTGAGTTTTTATTAGGGGGGATGTGGCTATAAATTTTCATTACATCAAAACAAACTGAACAGCTCTAGGCTGTGCAGACTTGTATGTAAAATAAGTCTGAGAGAATGAACAGAAAAAGTGCACAAGCAGTGAGACAAAGAGGTAGTGAGAGGGAGTGTGCGTCCTTTAGGAAAACTCTCTGCAACTATCAGGCAGCCAAGCGTAGCCTCAGAGCAGAAAGTCAACCTTCACTGTGTCCTCCTACCACACTGGAAACCAGAAGCTGCTGCAGCATTTAAAGGAGATTCATTAGGCTTCCCACTTACAGTCACAGTGCAGTTAATCACCCAAGCTATATGCATATGTGACAGCCAACTCTATAAAGATAATTAAGAAGTTACACCTGTCCTCTGCCCAAGGTTCAGCCAAGGTGGAAAAACAAACCGGCCCTCTGTCTGGAACAAAACGTTCATTAAATTCCATTAGGACGACATACACAACTGTCCCTGGGAGGATAATTTTTCTCTCTGTGTACCTCCCTCTTTCTCTTGTCCTTTTTCTCTGGCTCTATCACTCTACCTTTGACTACAGGACATGTAAAGATCCACTGATGTGACCGTTTCCTACTTGTTACTCTCTCTCATGTGATCTCTGTGCCTCTCTTTGTGTTACAGTATTACAAGCGGTCAGCCTCTGATTCTAAACTGTTTCACCACTTTTTTCCCTTTTCTCCTCTCCAAACTCTTCACTCAGCGTCTCTTCTAATGATCCAATCCACCCCTACAACGGCTGGCCTCTCCAATTCAGATCAGATGAGGGGCAGTTTGAGGCAACGTTAAGAGTAGCAGTGTGAGTTTTTTATCACATTCATTACTCACATTCACAGAAGTGGAGATTAGTGCACTATGAGAGTGTGTAACGTTGAAATATTTATATTTGAAGAGATTGAGATAGTTGGATCGGTCATGTCGAGGTGAATTCTGTTTATCTTTTTCTCTCTCCCTTTCTGTGTGTGCTTGTGTTCACATGCATGCAGGGTGAGGTGTGTCGGAAAGGCAGCTCAACTCATATTAAAAGTTTTTAATATTTTTTGCTCAAAATAAGTTAATAGCGAAAGCTTTCTTTGGATGTACACAGAGTATGATCTTTTTGTCAAATCTGAATCACCAAACACGTAAAGTGAGCTAACTGCCTTGGGATCACAGACTCCTAGGGTCCAGGAATGTCCCAGCTTCACCACAGCTTCACTGAATTTGGTGATTACAGTAAACTTTAAGGAATTTGCAAACACTTAAAAGACCAGTGTGTAGTATTTAGTGGCATCTAGTTCTATCTAGAGCCAGAATGTAGAAACATGGCGGTTTAACATGGCAGATTCTGAAGAAGAGGACACACTTTGTAGATAGAAACAGGTCATTCCAAAGTAACGAAAAATTAACTCTTTTTTTTTTCTGATATTTTACAATGATAAAATACCTATGAAAATTATATTCCATTTCTACCAATAGATCCTCCTATGTGTCCTTTAAAGATAAACTATGTAACTTTATAAAGAAGAAATAACACAATCTTCAGCGTGTAATTGAAAAGTTGAACTCATACACAATTAAACACACTCATGCTCATTCAATACAGTTTTATAGTCACAGCCTTACTTGGTCTATAGCTCACAGTGACTAACACTTCCTGATATTAGTAAACTTAAGATAGATATTGCTGTGTAACTAACATTACCTGGTTCTGTTACACTACATTGTATCATTATTCTGTAATTTCCACTTGTGTCCACAATGGCCCCTGTTCAGCAGATGTTGCATAGACTTGCTTTAAGCACAATATCTATCTAACTGACAGATTATGTATTATCACCTAACAATGTGGGTCCCATGTAAAAATACAGTTTGAAGCTCTTTTACAATAAAAGTTGTGTTTAATCAAATTGTTGCAAACTAAATGGGGTCGGGTTCTGTTATCTCTGTATAGGGATACTGGTTGGTTTCTTCTTCTGTGACAGTGGTGAAGAAGGATTCAGATACACACTGAAAATACTCCACTACAAGTAAAATACTTCATTCAAAAGCTGACTTAAGTGTTATCAGCAAAATGTACTTAAAGTATCAACCTGGAAGGGATCTAACCACCTGTATGATCTTTGACTGCACACACAAATGGAGAGCCTCCTGACATTATGGGACAAATGACACCACACAAGCTTCATGGTAAGTTACGATTAAACACTTAATGTTTATATGAGCATTTACCTGCTGTTGCTGAACTTCTGACTGTCTAACTAATGTTAGCTAGCTTGCAAAGCATTGTTGGAAGGTAATGATATCCACCTAGTGTGCATGTAGTGTCCGTACAGGCTGGGGTCAGGCCAAAAAATATGATGACATGTGGATTAGATCTTGTCTTTTCAAAGTTACACACCTTGAATTTACTGACAGTAATCTTGATGCATGAAATATTAGTGAGCTTGAGTATCTAGCTAAGTTTAAGATAGGTAAGAAGGCTTTGCGGTTATTTACATGCATGAAAAGTTGCCATAATGCAGGAAATTAAGTGTTTAATACTCAAATTGTTCTGGTGTTGGACCCTTAAACCGCCCCAGTACTTGGCCCTGCTGTATAACATAGTGTGAGGCCCCTGATCCACCCCTGGTTTAATCTACAGAAATGCATTCTATAAGAGCATTATATGTTTGTAGTGTTTCTGTCCTTTGAGAACCACATATCTCTAAAAAAGTAAACTTTTCATGAGCTCAGAAAAACAGCCTTGTATTTTAAGCTTTGTGACAATGCATTTTCCAGCTAATCCAGTCTTTTTCTTTTTTTCTTCAAATGGAGCCAATTTAAGCCTCCTAACAGGTTAATCCAGCTATTTTTATGAAACTTGTCTGAAACTTGAAAGTTGTTGAGTCAGCTCTCTCTTATTGAGGCAGTAGTGTCTGGTGTTTTTGTGTGATTATTATATTCAGAGGTACTACTATAATGTTATTTTGTCTCTCTTCTGTGTAAATAAAAGGACAATATAAAGTATTGGCCATACCTGGAAATAAATGCTGTCCTATAAGTAAAGAGAAGAAAAAGAGATCATGGGCCACAAAGGGCTAAATCAAGACTATTAGATCATATTGATTTATATTATATATATAATATAATGCAATCAGACCCTAAATGCAATGCAAATCATAGCAGAAAACAGTGACACCTGCCACAAAACATAAAACTATAAGCTATGGATCATTTGTTACATAGATTGCCTAATTATTTGGGCTGTGTGTGTTTCTGTTTGCAAAGCATGATGGGAAAGTTTTGGGGGCAATATCTGGATTGTTCTAGGCAGGATAATGTCAGATAGACCCTCCAGGCTTTTTGCATAAACCCACACAGACATGATTACACAGAGGACCATCATTCTCTCCCGAAATCTGTTCTCCCCCACCCATCCCCCATTCTATCCCCCTCTTTCTCTGTCATTCCCTCCGGATCACAGCCGACTTTACAGCGTCGTGTCTCGTTTATGTTTGCTGACACATCAGGAGCAGCAGCTGAAAGATAAGTCTGTATGTAAGAGAGGCAGGAAGAGAGTGGGAGAGAATGATCGGCAGTAGTAGAGAGTTTAAAGAGGTAGAAGTGAGATGGTGTAAAAGATGAAAAGAAACAAAAAAAATAGAGAAAGAAAAGATTATTGAGCCTCAGGTGAAGGCCAGAGACATTAGAAGGACACACGTGTCTGTTTGTGCCTCAGGGACTAAGGGACTATGGGAGTTTATTACATTAACCAACACGATACCAGTCTGTGCCTTTCTGTTCTGTTCTGTTTTCTGCTCACATCCAAACCTTTTCATTTATGAGCCTCTTCCGGAAAAAGGATTCAATGGTTTGACGTCATGTACAGAATTGAATCCAACACACGCAGAATTTGCATTCACTCTACAGCACATTTGATGATGAGCTTTCCTTGGAGTTTACAGGAACTTAAAATTGATTGAATCATTCCTATATAACAGGACATGAAAAGATATGTATTTGCAGTAAACTCTGTACCATGGCGAGACAACAGCCTGCAGGTTTTCATACCAACCAAAGACACCAACTGAATAAAGGCGAGGAAAAGACCATATCAGTGGATTTTCACAGCAGGAAAAGCACAGTTCAATTTTGTATACTATATTGCAATGTTTAATCATAAATGTTCCTATCATTGCTTGTTTACATCTATGGCCATTGCGTATTTATATATAAATATATATACATAAACATGCACATTTATATAAAAACAAAATAAACTAATAAACTACAAAAGAATAGCACAAAAGATTCAAAACACAACCAACTCAAATACTAGATCAAATTTACAACAACAACCTAATGTTGCTGATGAAATTAATGGTGGCTCTGTTCTATTCAAGTGTCCCAGTAAATAATGACAGTGTGACAGTGAGTCAGCAGGAACAATACCAAGACCTTGAAACTAAAGCAACTAAATGGAATTCAGCTGTCATTAAATTAGATTTTTCTGGATGTTTTTTAGCTGTAAGTCCTGATTTTGTGTCATGTCAAGCTCACTAATTGTAATCTTTTTACACAAGTGATTGTCAAGTGTGTGCAGGCAGGGACAAGCCGAAGGGAAGTGTTTCATTTCTCTTCAAATCCATTAAAATCCATTTGTCCAGTGTAACTCACCTGTTTCTTATACCTGCTTCAATACATGACACATGGACACAAGCACACACACTTTTCTTGGGGGGGTTATACTAACCTTTCAAACCAATGTGTCCCTCTTGCTTTCAAAACCCATAATTGACAGTTTGATTAGGTCTTCTGCAGCCTAAGG